TAAAAAAAAAAAAAAAAAGAAAAAAAACGAGTACACGAAGATGCGTGTAGATGCATGTATACTTACGAGTTCATATGCTCAGGTAGAGTTCGAGCAAACAAGTTAGAATTACGTGTGATTAGGCAATTTTCTTTCAATGTATGTGTGCATATAAGTATGATGAACATTTACGAGTTGCATAATAACCAAACGGAAATTATAGAAACATATAAAGTATTTATAATAAATATTATGCAAAATGTATTGTTATTATAAGAATAATGTTTACATTTGTAAACATTAACCTTTGCATACCACACTTGGTCCAAAGGACCCAGACGACCTTTTTTGCAACTTGAGTCGTCATTTTTCTCAATTGTTCAACTTTGGTAATTTTTTCAACATATTTAAATTTAATTTAAAGCTATAATACCTATTATAGTCTTTTTAAGTAAGTATTAAAGAAGTCTTAAAAAAATGTTCAAGTAAATCTATGCAATATAGTTTGTTTTTTACTCCAGGAAGGGTGGTAAGCAAAGGTTAAAATATTCTGTCAAGTTTCTTAGTGTTTTATTATTTATTACACTAAAATTTTATTTTCTACTATTACTTGAGATTTTGAAAATTTATATAATAGTACAATTTCAAATACATATTTATGAGAACGTATACATGTATCTTATGTATATATATATATATATGTAAAATCAAGGTTCACTGAGAACGTATGCTCGAGTGAAAGTAAAGAACGACCGAGAGCTTACGTTAGAAACGTGTAACTAGATTCCTGCTGCAATTGAAAATTCCAAAGATAAAAAAAAAGAAAAAAGAAAAAAAAAGAAAAGAAAGATCATTGAAAAATAATCCATATCTAATGAATTATATTCATTTTATTTTGACAGTAAATATTGTTTTTAAAATAAGTGAAAAGAAAGATGAAAAATGATGAAAAAAAAAAAAAATTGTAATAATCAGCTCATAAACACGTGGCTAAACGTCATAGATACCTATGTGCATTCATCTGTATAGGTACACGTATGTACGTACGTACATATGCGCAACAGCTGTAAAAACAAGTCAGTGGAATTAATTGACTGGACATATACGGGAAGCCGTGTTGAAAATTAGGTCAAAGCTTTGATGAAGGGGAGCAAGAATATAGGGGGACACTTGTGGTTTTGATTCTAATCTTCTCTCTATTGCAATATATGAATGAAGTAGACTTTTAGTAGACATGCGTGCTTGGACATTTTATGCAACTACGTATAGACATATATATGCGTTTCTGCTAGCATGAGATCGATAATAAAGCTCGGAGAATGCCTGAAATGTTTTATCGAACATTGTCCTTGGCCGTGCTGCGGTCATTAACCCTATTGATGTGTCGAGAAATGTTCTTTCCAAAATTCACCATTCGTATATGAATATTCAAAAAAAGTACCACCACTGGCAGATAGGCATTAGTGTGGATAATAGTTTCATTAGTTTTCTTTCAGTTAAACTTTGATGGAAAAAAGCTATCTATTAGCATACTTTCAATTTCTATTTGAAATTGGAATAAACGTTGTGGACAGGATATTGGATGATTATAAATTGGAATGACTATATATCGACTAATCAATGTCAGCATAGCTGCTATCGAAATCGCAATTGTTGCGTGTTCTCTTTCATAATGAACGAAATGATATTGTACGGACTGGCACGATAGACAAGGAGATATAGAAAGAAAGAAGTTAACCTTGACCTCAGTGGAGGAGGCAGGTCGCATAAGTATGATTTTTCGCGTGGGTCGAGTTGAGATGAAATTGTTCGTTCGGCAATGTGAGAAATTGCAGTGAACGACGCACCATGTATAACTTGGTTAACTTCGCTAACGGTGAGCGTGAATGTAACACAACACATCACGCATCGTTCATTCTATGAACTATATGAATTTCAAGGGAGCTTGTGTACTTGTGTTCACACAAGAACTTTAATTGTATAAATAACATAGTTTTGTCTTTAATTATTTTATATAAAATGTATTTGATATTTCGTTTATAGAATGAAATGTCAAAAATATGATACTACGTACCATCCGGATTATTGAAGTATCCCCAGTGTGGGGTGGCAGTGGCAGCTGATTGGAGTACGACAGCCAATACACTGAGAGCAAGTGCTCCAGCAGCACCTCGAGCAGCCACGGCGCGTTTTTCGTTACGTCTTGGATCGGTTGTCGTCGTGGCGACAGCTCTGACCCCTTGATGACGATTGTTGTTCTCGTTGTTGCTCGAATCGGTTGCCATTCTTCATATCATCCCCCCTTTTTCCTTTATCCTATCTCTCTTATTTCTTTCTTATTTTAAATAATCCAAATATTTGTTAATTGTAATTGTGCGTCTATGTGGATATAACCAGGTAGATTATAAATCCGTCATGTGCATGAGCGATCGATAACGTAGAAGATTAGAGGTGTATTCGCGCATGTGTCTATGCAACAGAGAGTGAGAGAAACAAATAATTCATAAGTGATAATAGAAGCTACAAAGAGAGAAAGACTGATAGTCTTAGCACAACGATCTTGTGCACATGTATTTATATATAAATATACGCACAGAGCAACGTGAAAACGGTGTTGGCGACTATATATATTGGGACACGAGCAAATTCCACGTTCTCTCTCTCTCTCTCTCTCTCTCTCTCTCTTTAGACTCTTGAAGTGTATACTGGACTCGTATCTCTCTTTCTCTGTCACTCTCTCTTCCAGTTCCTCGTGCTTTCTCGGAGAGCAGTGGTACCCGAGAGGAACCGGTTTTTGCGACGATGCTTGAGAGAGAACCGGCAAACTGCTAAAAATAAAAATGCCCACTCCTCGAGGTTGGTTTTCTCTCTCTCTCTCCCTCTCTCTCTCTCTCTCTCTCTCTCTCGAAGGGAATAAAATAAAAATATAAAATATGAGAAGGTAAGGAAGGAAAAAAATAAAGCGAGAGATCGACGTATCCGGTTAAAGTATGGTTGGTACGCCGTTGTCTTCTTTATTGTCGCAGTGTCTTGTGTATATGGATTGTTGTTGTTAGATATAAGCTTTTACTCTCTTCTCTTCCGGGAGGATAAATGGAAAAAAAAGTAAAAACAAGTAAATAAAGAGAGAGAGAGAGGACGGGGGACGTTCGATCGACGAGAAGGAAGATCGAATCGCCCGCGGCTCTCGTCGATCAACGATCGAGTACCGCCATCGCGCCTCGCCTCTCTTCTCTATTTCGTCAAGATGGCGCTCGCAAACTTCCCTCAAACTCCCACCTCGTCCTTCTTATTCTTCTTATCTTTCTCCTCTTCGTCCTTCTTCTTTTAATAATAGTAATAGCAGTTAAAGAAGTAGGAGTAGTAGTAGTTACGAGAATAATATTAATGAATGTTTGTCGATTTTTCCTCATCGTCCAAGTCGCCTCTCGATCGGACAAGATCGATCTCGATCATTACTCCCTCTATTGATCGCTGACATCTTTTTATTCCTTCTCTTTTTGTGTGTGTGTGTGTGTGTGTTTTTTTTTTTTTAATATAATTACTTTCTTTTTTATTCTTGAATGTCCCTGTAACAAACGAAGCTACAAGAAAACGTTCGTATATGTGTATAGGTTGTCAGGTACTCGCTCTTCACCGTGGTACAACGCTACTAAACGCGTTGGTGTTGGTGTTGATATTGGTGTTAGTATTCTTCATCGATCGCAAGGGAACGCGGTCGCACGACGGTCTCTCAACGTTGTTGTTTCCTTTCATTCCACTAACATTTCTCTTCGTTATTCTCTTCAAAAGCATCGTTCGTCCGTCCGTCGTTCGATTAAAACACAGTTTGATATTAAATTTGTATCGATTCTTTCCTCGTCGCCGTGATCGATAAATTTTGTTTAAATTCAAATTTCCCGCCCACTTATTCCCTTTTATTTTTTCCACACTAAAAAATACACCTTTTCTTCTTTGCATTCACACGGGGACGCGTACAAAAAGGCACTCACGCACACACACATACACACACACACACACATATACATACATATAAACATACCCAACGTATACACTGTATCACCAGAGACCTATCGATATTGGAGTTTTATTCAAATTACATACAAACATTTTTCAATCGAATAATCCACTAGCGTCGATCCTTTGGTAAATATTACATCGGTCGAGGAGGATTTCTCGTTTAAACGCGGAAAAAGCCGAATGGTATCCGAACAAGTTACGAACTTCTTACTCGTTCTATCTCTCTTTCTTTCCCTATCTTTGTAAAACTCTTGGTGTTTGTACCTGCGTATATCACACGAGGATTTTCCACGACGACACATTCAAAGGAACGAAACAAAAGAGACGATACGCGTACGCGAGCCTGCGCGTTACGCGGCATACTGCGCTTACCTCCGCGTACGAGCCGTTTCGAATGCTTCCCCCACCCTTTTCCTTTGCGTTCTTTCTCTTTCTCTCTCTCTCTCTCTCTCTCCTTCGTTCACGTACTACACTTACGCTCGCACTTATGGACAGACACTCCTTTCGCTCCTATATATTTCTCTCTCTCTCTCTTATAAACTTACTATTGTTCTTTCTTCTCTTTCTTCTCTTATTCCTCTTTTTCTTCTTACTTATTATAACTTTTATTTTATTCAATAGTTCTTTCTCTATTTCTCTACTTGCAACGTTTTCCTCATTCACCGACTCTTTATTTCTCTCTCTCTCTCTCTCTCTCTCTCTCTCTCTCTCTTTCTATATATATATATATATATGTTCAGAGTTTCTGTATATTTCTTTTTATTTTCCTGTTCTCTCTTTTCGTGCATTCTTTGTCGCAAAACTCTTCAGTAATAATTTCTTTATTTTGTAACATTTTACATATATATCTACTGATCTTACTTGATATTCAATTTTGTCAAGGATCAAGTTCCCGTTGTTTGAAATGCGATTACTTTTATAGGGTAGGAAGATTCGGAAAATTTTCGAGCGTGACGTACAATTGAAGGTTTTTCGAGAGAGTACGTTATTTGAATGGCAGGTTTTAAAATGCGACACGAAACGTGCAATAATGTCATTGATAATAATGATTGAAAAATTGTTTTACAAGTACTATAATAAAAAATAAGAGAATCAAATTAACAGAATATAAAACTCAACTAATGGTAAGCATCGAAATTTATCACATGCTTTTTATGATTGAACTCTAATTTCTAAAATCATTTTACATTGCTAATAAATGATTACCATTATAATGAATTATCAATAATATTGGTGTACATTTAATTATTATTATTATTAATTTATCATGAGATGGAACTTGTCGTTCGTTATTTTGCTTGTTTTATTTCTGATAAGAAGGAGAGGAAAATAGTTGGAGGATAAATAATAAATTCAAAGAAACAAAAAGAAACAAAAAGAGAGATCCAGCTGACGTGTTGAGAATAAAATAAATTAACAAGAATAGAGAAAAGACGATTTTTTACATAAATACTCTTATGTAAGTAATAACGAAACGGCTGTACATAAAATGGAAGCTTGTGTACCTCTTACCGTAACAAGGAAAAAAAGAAAAAACAAAGGGAGAGAGAGAGAGAGAGAGAGAGAGAGAGAGAGAGAGAGATCATCAAACCGAATAAAAAATATTCGAAGGTTGGTCGCGGTCGTTCGTGTCGATAATTAAAATGATTTCTTTGCTGACCTTATTAACGTGTTAGTCATCGTTCTCAACTATTTAACATACTTAAATAATTTCTCGCGTCAGCGATATCAACGTTGTCTTTTTCTCTCTTTTGATTTTGTCCTTTTTTTTATGTCGCCCCCCTCTACTCGCCTTTCCGATCGATCGATCGATCCATCAGTACACCTCCCCATATTCGCACGATGGAATTTCCTTTGTGTCTCTTCCAAACGATGATCGAAATTACCATAGTATGCAAATGTCAATTCGGTTGGTGAGGCAGAACGATGGACTAACATAAATTCGTTTTGTATTCTGATAGCGTCAATTGAAAGGAATTTTTCAGAAATTCTTTATCTCGTCGAAGAAAGTTTCGTCTGTTTGATTTGAACACCTGTTTTCGAAGTATGCTTTTTCATGAATATTCTTAATAATCATCTATGGTTATAAGAAAAAAAGCAGATTGGTTAATGGATAATCAGAATCCAAATTTGATGAAATTTACGAAAAATAATCATTATTTACATATTAAAATATGAATATTTTGTTGAAAGCGTGGAAACTTTCAACAAGTTTCTCTGTGCTATCCGTTCGATGCAATGCCGAGGTCACGGTCGGGGTCACGTAATTTATATATCAAAGTTGCCGCTTATATAAAAATGAAATCTTACAAAAATGATCCAAATGTCTATCAATAATATGTTATCCAATTATTTGCAATTGTAATTATTTAATAATTATTAAATAATGTGAATGATGATTTAATACAAAAAAAAAAAATAAAAATAAAAATTGACCAATAAAATAAAATGTTCGGTGTATTTATGACGTCATAATATCGTAGAAAGCATACCATTGGTCGTTTTTATGACTCGTTCCTCAAGGTTACTCATTGCATAGCATCGCATTAGTGATCACGCTTACGCAACGAATATAAATGTGTGTGTGTGTGTGTGTGTGTTAGGACTATTGCGATAGTAGCAGACGTTTTACGCGTCGTCGTCGTCGTCGTCGTAGTCGGCATTGCAAAGGTAGGAAACTTGGTACGAGCAACGATCTAGGATAGAGTGAAACGAGCATGTTCTACGTGCGAACATTGTACCTACGTGTAGCACATAGAAAAAACGTTAGGTGTTGGTTTTATCTGAAAAAAAAAAAAAAAACGAAATTCTTTACGAGCCTCTTTACGATTCTATTAAAATCGTTCGACCGTTTCACTATTTTTATGTCAGATAAAAAGAAAAAATAGTCGATCGATATGATCGATCAATAATGCACATTGTTTGCGAGCTTCTACCGAACACCCGGTATATCAAACTGAGTTATAAGCATTAGAAAGAAAGATAAACTTTATTACTGATTATGTCTCTATATAGAAAAATTCAGTGTCAAAATGTTTGTCTATTTCTAGCTCCGAAATTACTCAACCAATTTCAATGAATTTTCTTTTTATTTTGTATGATTTGTTCCAACTTGAAATATAGGATAGTTTTTATTGAGATTCGATGAAAATAATTGGAAGTAAAAGATTTCAAAAGAAAATGTCGTTCGGTATGTGTTCAAGGGCATCGATAAAGAGAAAAAAGTATTAAGGACAGAAGGTTTTTTTTTTTTTTTCATGGCGAATCGAAACTCGATCGTACTTTTAATGCCATCCATTATACTCGAAAGACAACGCTCTTGCTGGCAGATGGAAAGCGTATTTATTATCTGGGAGATCACGTCCACACGAAGAGCCGTTAAACGAAGTAGAAAGTTAACCTCTCTCTCTCTCTCTCTCTCTCTCTCTCTCTCTATCGACAACTCATCCATTTTCCTGCTAGAGTCTTTACTGTAACCATTTTAGTTTTTTTTTATTTATTATATTTCAATTGATCGATACAAGTTTAAAAAGACTATATTGATCCAAAATCATGATAGTATTTACTAATACTCGTTAATTGCTTGTTAGTTACATGGTGAACGCCATTGTGGTCCGATTCTTCTTTGGAGTCAACGAACTCCAAAGGTCGGGGGATTATTCGTGCACGATCAAGGAAGTACGGTTTGTCTTGAGACAAAAGAAAACTCAATTAAATTGTTCTACTTTGAAAATATTCGTTTCTAATCTACTTTTATACGGTTACCCATTAAATGTATGTTTGATTTTCTTGTCAAAATCGATTTCTCTCTCTCTCTCTCTCTCTCTCTCTCTCTCTTCGTTGAAGATCAAATATTTACGCAACTCTTTCGCAAATATTTGTAATTTTAAGTTGTTTTTATAAGTTCACGTCTACACTGTTTTCAGAGTTGGAGGAAAAAGAGAATCGTAAATGATGTTGCACATCGTTTTAACGGAAATTGCGATAATTTTGATTAAAATCATAAATACATACTTTATTGAATATTAAGGAGTAAGTAATGCATGAAATAACGAACTTTTTAACGCATATAAGTCACGAATAGGCAATTAATAGAATAATAATCATCATCGAAGAGAATAATTCGATAGAGAGAACAGGATGCCTCGTTATATTATATACGAGTATATACATATATGTATTATACTTTGGTATTTTGCATAGAGGACGTAGTGGAAAGGTATGCTACTTAAAATATAATAGATAACGGTTTCCAATAAAAGAATAATTAGCATGCAGTTAATTAATATTTTCTCATTAGCCTTTTATCTCATTAGATTTAATTAACATATAATATATACGTTAAACAGAAGGTGGGACTCAAACCTGTATATTATAAATAAAGTTAAAAGAAAGAAAATTATATTGTTTAACATTTCAAGAAATGATGAATAATAGTTTTGTAAACTAATCATAATGGTCATAATGGTCATAATGGTCATAATGATCGAGAGAAGAGAAGTGTATTAAGGCCGGCGCTACATGTAAAATAAAAAAAAAGATCGAATTTTCTTTTTTTTTCATAAATAGTTGGTTTACCATCTTAAAAGTATGCCTGTCAATTTTTAGAATGAAATTCGCATTATTTATCGATTGAAAATTCATTGAAGTGCTCCGAGTGCCTCAACTCGGCGCTAGACGCGACTGACGCCTTAATTTGAACGCATTTTTGTCCAAACGACTTTTTTCAAACTGACGTGCAAGATAATTCAAAAAATTCTAAACCGATTCTTATGAACTTTAGCACACATTTTCTTTATAATATTAGCTATTAGCTTAAGAAAGACTTTTGATTATTGTTGACCTCGAAAATATTGAATTTCTATAAAGAAAAAAAAAAGAAAGGTACATACTGTAAAAAATGCAACAGTAGACGATGTAAGTGTATATTTTCATCTATAAATGTGATCGAACCGGATCGTGCAGTACGTGATCCATGGATCATGGTTCCTTTTCTTCGTTTCGTGTCGTCGAACTCTCGAACAGTTGATTCGACCATGTCTTACACCAACGCGTCCTCTTTTTTCCTTTTCTCGTTGTAAACTCTCCTACCACGATCTCTTCTCTTTTTTTTAGTCTTTTAGTTTTGATATACGTAAGAAAGTAGAGGTATAGGAGGTATACGTAGATTTCGTAATCGTTCAAACAGTGACATTCTTCCAACATACTACTCGTACAAGGTAGTATGAATTTTATTTTCATACATTCAAATCTTTCTCTCTCTCTCTCTCTCTCTCTCTCTCTCTCTCTCTCTCTCTCTCTCTCTTTCTTATTGTAGGTTATATACACATATGTATATATGTGTTTATGTGCAAGTGTGTCCTCGAGATACTTACTTACTTACTTACTTACTTACTTACTTACTTACTATCCTAAATTAGATTAGAACGTTAGTACGTGCTGATAATAACCGTACAGAAAAAGAGAGAAAGAAAAAGAAAAAGTGAAAAGAATAGAAATAGAAATAGTGAAAAACGTGCACGCATAGGATGACCTGAAAAAACAATTGCAATAAGTCTGGACCAATAAAGTGCACGAACGTGCTAGATTTTAACAATAAGATTCGTGTCCTATTTTATCCAAACTGATATATCATCTAATCTTATATCATTTTATTTTGTAAACAGAAAGATATATAAATAAGAAAAGAAATAGAAAACATGAAAATGAGATATATGTACGTATGTTGTTTCGAATGCAAATAATTCATATACATATATAATATATATTATATTTCCATGTGATATACATCAGTACGTTTACATCCATCTTCGGATACAATGCGTATAACATACATTATTGTTTTATTTGAAATTGTATAATATTTTTTTTGTTTTGTTTTTTTTTTTTTTATAATTTTTTTTTGGTTTCTCTTAAATTTGCATATACCACTTAAAATGAGTGTGTTATTTTAGCTTCGTGTATATGTTCTTTAGCGAGGCAAGATGCGCAGATGATGGATAGGTTCAATGCGGATCTCCTTGCTTTCAAATTTTATTTTTTATCATTTTCACTTTCTCTTTTCCAAATGTTTGTATTTCTTTTGAATATCATTTTCCCTGGTTATTCATTTTTCCTGGCGTTATCATAATTTACAACAATGTTATTTTCTTATCATTTGAAATGTTGATACAAATTGTTAGAAAAGAAAGAAATAAAGACATTTGTCGAGTGTATATTTATATGTATATATATTTTAATTATTTATTTATTTTTGTCCATTATATCCAGTGACCGTCTCGTTGCTCGTGAAAAAAGAATTAGAGGAGTTATTAGGCCGCAGAAATATCTTATCGAAAGATAAGAAAGAAAATTATAAAATGTAAACACACACAAAAATGATTCTATATAGTTTTTCAAGCGCTTTACAACATATACGTATATGTGCCCATAATTATGAAAGTGATAACATTTAAATACTAAATCAATTCTATTGATAACTGACTAGTTTTAGTATGCACTTTAATACACAATTGTATGTAATAATCCACTTTGAATTGAATTAAAAATTAAATAAAAAATTGTTAATTGTTTATTGTGCTGTAAATGGTTGTGGTAGTAAATCACATGAAAATTTAGAAATAAGCTTTCATGCTATACCTAAACCAGGCAGCAGGCAGGCAATTTTGTTTATATCGAAAATTTATTTGGAAAAAAAGAAAAAATAGATAAGTTTTAGCAGCTTGGCAGCGTGCTACTTTCAAATTAACAAATATAAACCCTCACATGAGAGTGTGTTCGTTACATTTAGAAAGAAATGATTTTGTTTTCAGTTACAAATAAAATTACTTGTTAATCATTTTGACAGATGTAATATCCAAAAAGATGACTTGGAAAAAAACAAGTGTTCCTTCGTGTAAATTAATAAATCGCAAAGTATCAAAAGATGTTGAAAAAAAAAAAAATAAAGAGACACGGCGTCAACGTCAAGTTAATCGGAGTTTTAAAAAAAGAACAACATTAGTAAAAATTGTAGTTTGGTGAATGTAGAAAATATTGTACCTGATAAAAGTGATAAAAGGTGCTTTATAAATGATAACGTTGTTAAAATGTCTTTAACCTTTTAAGCACTACGCGCCACTATAGTGGCTTTCGCGAATGTCATCTACCAGTACGAAGCATAACTATAGTAGTTTTCCGAATGCCATCTTCTAGTAAGACGCGCCATTATAGTTGCTTTCGTGGATAACACCTTTTAAGATATATTATACCTAATTTTATTATTAATCATTAAAGTGAATTGTATAAATTAAAGTATATGTGTATCATTTCTTTGATAAAAATGATAATTTAATCATGAAAAACTTCATGAAAATTTACTTGCGTAGAGAACAGCCATTGTTCGTTACACATCATAATTTTATCGTTTACACGTAATTCTCGCTGAATCCTGCCCTGCGCAACATTCAGCCGTGCCTAAGAGATTAAATAAATAAAAAAGAAAAAAAAATAATAAACTAAAAAAACACACTAACTTAATGAAAACTTAATGGATAAACTCTTTGGTTGCACACAATACGTAGCCATGTTTTTTAAGCCACGCCTAGTGGTCAGTTGTCAATATAATATTGAAATAACAAACATTATCTCTAACGATTCATTTTTCACAATATCATGAAAATTACATTGAATTAATGTAATTTCAAATAATATCTTGTGAAATAACTTGATAAACTCATGTTGGTTTTTTTTTTTTTTTTTTTTTTTTTTTTTTTTTTTAACGACTTTCATAATTATAGACACATATTACAATATTCAAAACGATGTTGCTTCAATAAATTCATTCACGTACAATTAATCGACTCGATGGAAAATATTTGGTTGTTTTATCTTTAAGAGGATTTCGTACAATGAACAAAAATAGCAAATTAATCGAAAAGCTCTCACATAAAAATATGATATTGTTCGTTTGATGTCGTCAAGATGATCTCTCGTTATCTTCCTTGGGATAATATTTCATCATGGATTAAATTCCCACGTAGTTTCGTTGAATTGACTTTGATCTTCTGATTTTTTGCCAGAATTTATGGCGATTATAGCGACGTATGGTTGTTGTTTGCCGCAAGGAATGAAACATCGTCAGGAAAAAAGAAATGGGTGAGAGAGAGAGAGAGAGAGAGAGTGAGAGGGTGGCAGCGGGGGGAGGGTGGGGGAGGGTGAGGGAGGGGTAAAAAGTACGTCGAAAAATTGGAGACGAGGTAGTTTCTTTATCGGAAGAATACACATACAACCTACTACGACGTTCTTCTTAAAAAAAAAACCAATTAAAACATCGTCTATCATTTATCTTGCTTTTCCTATCAGAATGAGGAATTGAAAAAAAAAATATATATATATATATATAATGATTAGAAATAGAATAAAAAATGGCTAGAAAATAATGATAATTGTAGTTTATACAATTAATAATACTAACGTAAATATAATAATCAATCGAACGTCAAATTAATATACCACGTTCGTATATAGAGTGCGTTATCAATTTTTTTTTCTTTTTTTTTTTACATTAAAATTATTATTTATAATTAATATTATCGTTATTATTATTATTATTATTAGTAGTAGTAGTAGTATTATTATTATTTTTATTACTATTATTATAATAATTATTATTAGTATTATTATTATTATTATTATGAAAAGAAAAATACGTTCGACCTCAACGAGCCACAAAACAAGATTCTTATTAATATTATTATCATTATCATTATCATTATCATTATCATTATTATAATTGTTTCTCTGCACTTTTTTTCTTGTCGTTTTTCGAAGGGTAGGGGATGGAAAAGGAGATGTGGAGGGGGTTAGGGTTGGTTAGGCTGCACAATGTAAAGGGAAAAGGAAAAATATAATAGTATAGGTTTTGGTTAGGTTGATATTAAGAAAGTGGTCACCATAGATTGTCCAATTTAACCCCATTTTTGGAAGAGACCCATCCGTTGACACTGACAGTTGGAACCCCATAGATTGCAACGACAACTCGAGCTATAGCAACAATCCCTAGGTCGGTGATCACAGCTGCCACCGCGTCTTATACAGCCACGCCTAAATAGGTGAATCAAAGAGGAACGTCTACTCGAGATTAGGAGTTTCGTGTGATTCCTTTTTTTTTATATCGATACATGGATACAGGAGAGAAAAAGAAAGAAAAACAACAACAAACAAACAAAATAGAACCGTAGAAGCAAAAAATTAACCATTAATCCTTTGACTGCTAAAGGCGTATATAGACGCTTTCGCAAATCCATCAATATATACAAAAGGCGTAAATATACATAGGCTCTCTGTATTTTTTTACTATTACACCTTTATATATTGCTGTTTTACCGATTAAAATTCATTAACATGAAATTTATTGTTCTATGTAAGATAGCAACTAAATATCGGCAATTATTTCAATATCGTTTAGTCAATTGCTTTTATATTTAACAAATTAACAAATTGATTATTTTCTTTTTCTATCTTAATGTTATTATTTTTATTCGTTCATTATCATTTTAATATTTTAATTATTAGGTTAAAATTATTAAAATATCCTGTTAAAGTTGTCATATTCTGTGTTACATTATAAATTTTGTATTTTTTTGTTCTTTTATATTTAAATTGCCGATTATTATCGAAGGAATGCATAAAATAAATTAGGTAAATTAAAATAGCTTAAAAAAAAGATTAATATTTTTATTTTATTTGCCATTATTATATCTGTTTTGATCAGTAGTCAGTGGAAAAAAAAAAACAATCGCAACAATTGACATGCGAAAAACGCACCGTTCACATTAATGGATTTGTTCGAGAGCGCGCCGCAGTCAAAGCTCTAAGGTAAGTTACAAGTGAACGAAAAAAATTAATAATTAAAGGATAATGGTTAGAAATAAATGGTTTAGAAAAGGGTTGGCGAGATACTCACTTTTGTTGTGCAACTCGCATTAAATTGTCCAAAGAATTATCTGTATAGTCCGAGTCTACCACCTGCAAAGAGTCTTCTTCCGGTATTAAAGCGAGCGAGTCTAAAATTGTCAAAACAAATGGCTTTAATATAACATAAATCCTATATCCTATCCCTAGTAAGGGGTGCCCCGCTATTGCGATTATAAATTGAGGAGATATAAACTATCGTATCTTTCAAGTTGGATGAAACTGCACACAGTGTGCTAAATTTTATTCAAATCGGTTCAGTAGTTTACGAGTAAACAACGTAAGACGTAATTTATATATATATATATCCTATATTGATTAACATATTGTGCATATGTTGGGTCGGCAAGAAAGTAATTTCGGCTTGTACCAATAGATAGAGTTATGTTTGTTTCGTTATTCTTTCGTTAATGTTACAATTTGTTAGTTATTTAATTGAAAGTTAATTTTTTGTATAGAAACAATAGAGTCTTATTTCACACTAGAAAACCGAAATTACTTTCTTGTCAACCCAATACATTTATATGAATAATAGAAAAAAAAATATGTATATATATATATAATTATGTGTGTTCTTATTATGTAAAAGAGATGTTTATATAGTAATCGATATAAGATACATATGTGTACACAAGATCATAGTCAATGCATTAGGTAAGTTATTTGAAAGAGAGAGAGAGAGAGAGAGAGGGAGAGGTACCCTCGATCAAACAGTTAGTCGATACTGCTGATAATATCGATAGGATGACGTGCTATTCTTATATTAGTAAGAGTCTAGATAGCACTTTAATAAGGGCCATTGAAATAAAAATAGAATGGTTATAAATAATTGTCGACGTTTATTTTTATTATGCTCTCTTACGTAAACAATTATAAGAAAGAAGAAACAAAATAGAAGATAGGTAAAAAAATATGGAGGGTAGAGGTAAGGAGTAACATCTCTGTATGTGAAAAGTGTCCTTTGAAATCGAACCAATTGAGGTGGCGCCACATTAGCATCATGGTAAATTTTAAAGGAAGCGCCGAAAAATATTATTCGAGTAGGATTGAGAAATAAACAATTACAATACATTTACAATTGCTACATTCATACCATACCTTCTACGTTCACCAGCGCCATTCTGGAAGATTTTTGAACTGTTATTGACAGAAAACGCTGGACACTTTTTCACACTTTCTTCCATAAGAGATTTTACTCCTTACCTCTACCCTCCATAGTAAAAAAAAAAAAAAAAAAAAAAAAAAAAAAAAAAAAAAAAATAAGCAAAAATTATCAGAAATCCATTTAATGACACCACATGCGCATAAAATGATGTAATGTGGATACATTTATTCGAAAATAGCTCGACATGGTAAAAAGACTTTTCTATTTTCCAGTTGGTGGAACAGACAAGAAATAATATACGTAAATAGGGATAATATTATACATGTGTATGATAATACTTCATAAAGGATTTTCTGAGGAAACATTATTACTATTATGATTGTAAAATGTGATTCATTATATTATTGATTATAAAATAAATTAATGAAATATTAGTTACGAAATTGTATTGTATAATTTTGATGAATTTAAACAATATTTACAATTCAACGATTCATAAGCAAGGAAATGTTTTAATGAGCAGTTATTTGAAGTTAAAAATACTTCATGAAGTATTCATACGAGATTTATCATGTTCCAAATAATTTTCACGTAATGTTAAAAACCGCCGGAGGGTAAAATGAATATAAATTCTTGTTTGAAAATATCTCGAAAAATATCCCTTCTTGGGATATTAATAATGTATAAATTATTATCAACAAAATCTGACTTTATTGCTCTTTCAAATAGGGGGATGTTGAATTTTGTTTGTTGAAAATTTGAAGATAAGTAAAACTGTCTCCGGGGGTAAGTGTTAAATCATTTAGAAAATCTCATCGGAAACTGTTTTTTCTTATAAATTTATATATACGAAAGAAAATATTGTATTATTTTTCAAAAATAACTTGTTGTTCGTTCGAAAAGAAAATGGAAAAATGAAAGAATTTGTTCTTTTGACATTTTCGTATTGTTCTATATTCTTATCAAGGGAACTTTGGTATGAAGGTAATCCAGATAAACACCCTTGCTCGTTTTCCGCCCTTTCAACGAGACCCCCCCACAACTAACTTCCTACGATTTTACGATTTCGTGGAGAAAATTTCAAAATCCTTTTTACACTTTTCATTCTTGTGTTATTTACTATCTCTTTACTATATTTCCATTACGTGTATACTTAACTTAATAAAAATAAACTAGGTTTGTATTTCTACGTCAAATCATTGTTAACAATTTTTATAAGATTTGAAAACAACAACAAAAAAAAAGAAAAAACGATAATTTATCATGTTTTTTAAATAACAAATTTTCAATTAAAACTTTCAACTCCGTTGAACCAATTAGTATTCGTTTTTTGATTGTGGGGAAAAAAAAAAAAACAAAAAAAAAAGAAAGATTTTTCCATTAAAGTTTGAGAGAAAATATTTTCGTAATAAATCCGTCGGCATTATACTGTAAACCGATAGAATTTTAATTAAAACATAAATTTTCAATGAATTTATTTTATTTAATGTCAATTAAAATTGTTGATTAACGTTATTATTATTGATCCATCTATTTTTATTTGTTCATATACACATATGCATGTTTTTTTGTCTTGTACAAATATCAGAAAGACATGTCTAAAAAGAGAATTTTCTATGTTCTCGTGTTAAAATATTGTTGAAACATCTTTGAAATCATATAGTGTAATATATTTTATGGGAAAATAGCCGTCGCGCTAAAGTTTCCTCGTATTTCGTTCGGTTTGTGTGTATACTATACCTATATATACTATTACTCATGGAAAATCTTGTTTATTTCGAGCACGGATAAACTTCAAATATATTCATATATATATATATATTTCGTGTTGGAAATGATTATTATCTCAAATAATTCCTAAAATTCGTTCTGTGAATACAAAAACTTGTTGACTCCGTTAACGATAATAAAATAAGACAATAAAGTAATATTTTTTGTTTTTAAATAAACAGACTAAAATAATTATTTTCACACCATATAAAAAAAACACAAATATAAAATTAAAAAATAAATAAGTAAATAAAATAATTATGAATTTGGATCGATGTTTTTTGACTATTGTTTCGTCAATAAATTGATTACTATTGGGTTGGCAAGAAAGTAATTTCGGAAATAAGTAAATATATATATAAAGTAGGTGTCAGGTTGTTTGTCCGCAATGGACTCGTAAACTACTGAACCGATTTGAATAAAATTTTGCACACTGTGTGCAGTTTTATCCAACTTGAAAGATACAATAGTTTATATCTCCTCAATTTATAAACGCAATAAGGCGGTATAAGGTAATTCGTGAGCCACAGCTAGGCACCCACACTAGAGCACCCCTAGTATATATATATAATATTATTAGGTTGGCAAGAAATAACTTTCTTTCCAACCCAATATAATTTAGTTCCATTTATTTGTAAACGTTCAATTTAGAAAACATTCCTCTCTCCCTCCCTCTTTAATGCAAAATCAATTATATTTATTTGTTTGAATTATTTGTTTCATTGAAATATACATATATGCATATGTAATAGTAAAATGTAGTAAAAAGTAAAGGTAAGGTAAAGGGCAGCAAGGTATTTTCGCCTACATAATCGTCCCACGCACGTGTTAAGTTTGCTTTTAGTAAAGTTAAAATATTCATTATTAGATTTCATTCGTACTAAAGTTAAGAAAAAAAGGAAAGAAAACTAGTCATAATATCATTACCATTGCTAATGGTAATACCCTATTATGGTTGAGAAGCATATTTCGTAAGAACGTTATCCTTTCTTGCACAATATTCTCTTTTCATTCTCGGTATGAGTAGAAAAGGTCAAACATGTGTACAAGTTTCAAAGTCCTTCGAAAATTTTAAATATGTTTCAATTATTATAAATAAATAAATAGATAGATATAAAAGATAAAAAAATATCTCTCTTATCGTATCATCAATAAAGTAATAAATGTAAAAAGTATATCAATTGTAAAAAAAAAAAAAAAAAGAAGATATGTCGTTAGATAAGAAGAATCTACAAACAGAGATCAATTTGAAAGTTGCAAAGTTGGCAAACACAATACACTCTCTGAGAGGCTTCTTCTATCCTTTTTTTATCTACTCAATAAAGGTCAATTTAATAGTGACACACTGACAACGAGTTGAATCGAGTGAGCAATAATGTATCTCGCAATCGATAAAAAAAAAACCAAAGATAATATCGATTTGGATTAGATGGGAGAAAAAGAAGAAAGAAAAAAAAAGCTCCAAAAGGAATATTCTATTTTTTCTTCTTCTTTCTTGTTCTTTCGTCTATTTGGATATCGTTGCTTAGGATAGAAAAAAAAAAAAAAAAAAGAATGAAAATAATTGGATAATGAAGAAAATGAAATTAATTGGAGAAACCTTTTAAGAAAGAACAAAATGTATCGATCGTTCTCGGCAATGTTGTTTTTAATTGATGAAATGTCGATCGTTTCTTTGAGATTAATCGAATTGATCGAATGAACTCTTACATATGATAATATGTTACATTGTCCGGCTGGTTAAATGTTATCGTTGGAAAATTGACTTTATTTTCCTTTGACTAAAATGTTACATAAACGAACATGACAAGATGGGATATAGAGATGAGATAGGTTGAACAATTAAATCGGGATTTACGTCTAAAGGAACAAATGCAAATGAAGTTTACGTTAACTCTCGTTACGATCATTAAGGGTCTTTTACGAATTTCAACGAAATCCAATAAACAGAGTATGACTATATATATATTATCTGTCTTTTACTATTTAACAACGCGAATCAAAATAAATATATAAGATTTTTCAAAAGTCTAAACATTCGTTCAAATTTCGTTCAAATTTCGTTAAAATTTCGTTCAAATTGGTTGTTAAATTTATTTCTATTTTGATATTATTATTTTTATTTTCTTCGTAATATAAATTATTTCATATGCTATCAATATATTATCAACTACGAAATGTCTGTTCGTATATATTACTCCTTTGTACTACTTCGAAATCGATAAAAAACGAATGACAGTTAATTAATAAATAACAAAATGTTGTTGAATATGATGAAGTAATTAAACGTCCTTAAAATTTATTTCAATAACTATTCAAGTTGAAATAATTTTTTTGTCCCGATATATTACGTCGATAAATGAAGAAAACAACAACACCTGTCCGACCATATCGTATGATTGTTCTACTTCAAATTAGTGAGAACAACTAATTATCAAAAAGGATGATTAAATTGTTCTTTCATATAACCATTTTCAAATATTATTTTCAAAAGGATAATAAATGTAATTATTGTTATAACGCTTTTTATTCTTCTTTTTCTAAGGGTTGTTTAAGGATTTATAGGATAGTATTCGTCCATAATGATTTATGCGTGAATATGAGTGAGAGTGATATTGGCAAATAAAATAAGATAAATAAATTAAAAAAAAAAAACGGTAAGACTCGAGTACTTAAAAGGAAAATAAGGAAAATTCAATCCTCTGAGGGTTGCGTTAGTGAAACAACGATAGTGCTGCATATCGTTTAAATCAATTACAATGAAATTATTAGTAATTATACTTAAATAATCCCACCTTTCAAAATATCAAGGGATGAGATAAAGACTTTTACATTGTTTATTTTATTTCCATTTAACTAACTAACTAAAGAAACATTGATATAACGAATGTCTGACCATACGCGGTATTGTGTTACTCCAAATAATACTAAATGATTAAACAATGATAAATGAAAATATCGAATATTTCGTAAATACAATTATTCTTTTCTAAATAATCAATAATTATTTGACATGTCAAATAATCAAAATTCGTATACAAAGAAATAAATCCTATATATCCCCATAAAAATGTATAATATCGAGCTTGATGAAAATTATAATTATAATAATGACACTAACCTTCATCAAAATAAGGACTGGCAAGGCTCCTTTCGGCCAGGACGATGAAACAGCAAAACAACCACACTGTTGAGAACTTCATCTTTCTTCTTATTATATCTTCAACAATTAGTGATCTCTCTTATTATATATTATAGAATTTCTTCTTTTCCTTGAGAATAGAAAAAGTAAAGGGGGATGAAAAGTTTGTAAGATCTTGTTAACACCTCGTTAAAATGTCTGATTTACTTAGTAATTTTCTTTCTCTCTTTCTCTTTCTCTCTTGATCTTTCTCTTGATCTTTCTCTTGATCTTTGGACAGATGGGATAAAAGGACACCGAGGGTCAAGCTCGTGTACTCGAGGATGCTCGGGATGCGAATGAGAATTTCTCTGCGTAGAGGAAGCTTATATAGACGAGACGGGGAGGCGTGGCGATTGCGCCCCCACGAACCCGAAGATCGTAGGAAGTAGAGAGCGAAATTCAGGATATCAGACATTGCGGTTTTTCTTTTCTTTTTTTTTTTTCACCGGTCTCACCACGATTGGTTTCCATTTACAAGGAAACTCTCTGCCTCATCTTACCCACCACTCTCTCTCTCTCTCTCTCTCATACCCTTTTCTCCCCCTTTTCATAGCTTATAAATAAAAAGAAAAAATACTTTTTCGATATAAAATATTTTATCGTATTTCTCTCTCCCTCTCTCTCTCTCTCTCTCTCTCTCTCTCTCTATACCGATCTTTTTTTCTTGTTCTTGTTCTTTTTAATTTCATATATATTTTGATGTACTCTTTTCTTCTTTATTCATTACCCTTGGTTTTCTTCGAATTCAAATGTTTTTTTCAAATTTGGTTTAAGTGTATTATTGCATATACATATATGTATCTAACAATACGAGAAACAACAGGTATGAAAATTGTTTGACGATTTTTTAAGATGAAAAGTATTACGTGGGAAACTCTGTATATGTTATCTTTCAATGTTTTAACATTAGTATAGTAATCAGATTATTATATATTTGTATTAGTGTTTTAATATAGAATTCGTAGTACTCATTTGAATACTAAATGAGTAGGCGTAGGTTATTTTTCCGTAGGCCTCTTCTACACGTCACATTGAAACGATTGCTGACACGAGTCTATTAGATATTTCAATAACAGTTGCCGATATGTGGCAAATCCAAATATGTATCACACAATAATGTCACTTTAAGAAAGGATATTACATTTCAAAAATGTGATGATATATGTATGTGAAATAAATCAAATTCAAATTTAAACTTGATCTAACAATCAAAAACGAATTATTTCGAGTATCTGACCAGTCTCAAGTGTCGTATGTAAATGTGATTATAAATCTCTATTCCTATATTTATACATTTTATTTTTATACATTTTTGTAATATTATTTAGTATATTTTTTTCTTTCACATTAAAGACATGTACAATGTTTTATATCCTTTCTCTAATTAATATTTCAATAATTAATCGAATTTGCATTTTTTTTTTTTTTGTATACATTCGGTCTCCTTTTATCAGTCATTTCTTCGAATTATTGACAATAAGAACATTTCCCTTGGAAAAGTCAAATCTTTTGTATACTTTTAGTAAGAACGTTAGTTGTGGTTGAGTGTGTTTCGTATAATATTATGAAGGTATGTTTCTATCGTTGAATAGTGAACTTTTGAAAAGATTACGTGGATGAATCTAAAATGTAAATATTTCAAATATGTATGTATAAGTTCAATATGCATATTTAATATGAAATTTTATCATTGAATTAAACTACTTTAATCTTCTTCTTAATATATATATATAAATTACGTGTGTGTCACGTTGTTTGTCCGCAATGGACTCGTAAACTATTGAACCAATTTGAATAAAATTTTGCACACTGTGTGCAGTTTTATCCAACTTGAAAGATAGGATAGTTTATATCTCCTCAATTTATAATCGCAATAAGGCGGTATAAGGTAATTCTGATTGTGAGCCACAGCAACGCGCATATATTAAGTATTGGGTGTGGGTATAAGATATGTAGCATATGTAGTAAAATGATTAAGTAGATAAAAAAAAAAGATGAAATTTGTAAGTTTGGAAAAGAAGAACAAATATTATAGGATTCCTTTTGGGGTAAGTTTTCTATAGTAACTTTTTAGTCATTGACTTTCCGCGTGAATAAACGTTTCCAAAGACAAAGATAAAAGATATGAGATAGGAAAGAGAAAAGTGTTCACGTTATCTTGCTCGGTTCAGAAGGTCCATCAGGGAGGATGAGAGAAGGAACGCCCTTGATACGCTCCCTTGGCCGCTTCTTCTTCAAATGGAAGGAGGGTGAAATAGTGCTCTCCTTCTCGTTGACGTCATTCGAAGAAACGAAACGCGTACTATCAATCATTCTATCCATGTGTCGTCTACATCCTTATCGAAGGATGTATGTATTTCTTCTTGCAGACGATCATCTTCTCTCCTTGTTCCTGTGGTCGTAATTCGATCGTGATATCTTCCTTCCAATGGATCCTTACATGTCTGACTTTCCAACGTTTACCTATTCCACTTTGAATCAACTCTCTTATTGGATAGACCAAAATTTCCTTGCCATTTAATTCTTTTTTTTTTCTTTTTCAAATAATCCATTTCATCCCTTATAATCAAATCCGTTTCCCTGTAAGAGAAGGGGGGCGGGGCGAGGCGGGGCGGGGTGGTTAGGTTTTATTAGCTATTTACAACCGTAAATTTTATTATATACAATTTACCTGTGTGTAAATAGGGGAACGACAATTAAAGACTATTATCGGCTCAAATTATTTACCTCTCTTTATCTATCTCTCTAGCTATCATTGATTGATCCTTTGATTAATCGATTTTTATCGATCACTCTACTATGCGTCTTTCTAGAAGTGCGCGGCAAATTCAAATGAAAGAAAATATACTTTTCTTTATATATATATATATATAATGTATATTTGTATTTATTTGATTATTACTATAGTAAAATATATAATATACTTTAGTACTGTATTTCACCTTGATAATCAAGCAAAAGAAGTGATCGCAAATGTCAACGGTTATATTCTTAAAAATAACTCCTAGAAAGAAAAAAGAGAGAGAGAGAGAGAGAGAGAGAGAGAGACTTCTTCTCTCTCTTCTTACTCTGTGACGTTAGTTTTACAACTGATTTATTATTGCTTCTATAAATGACTATAGACAACGTGTGTTGAGTTTCAATTGGAGATTAAAAGAGATTCTATAATCGAAAGTGGAAAAAAAAAGCAAAATAAACGGGGGTTGTTACGTACGTTGTTCCTACTGTCTATTGCCAACCCCCTCCGTATTCGATATCACATCAATCACATCGTTTTCCTTGATTAGATTTGCTCGTCAATTTAATTAAATTTCCTAGAGTACTACGACAAGCTAATTAATAATTAAACGGCTAACTACTAACTACGATGTTTGTTCTTTCTCTCTTTTACTTTCTATTTACACCTTTGTATTAGTATTCTAAACGTTCACGAATATTCTCGATGTTTTATTCGAAAATTTGTATGTTGTTGTATTGTTGAGGGTGGTTTTGTTATTCCAAGAACGTTACCTTCCTTCTTTCGAAAACAATCAAAAAACAGGGTTGAAACTCTTCAAAATTCTCTTCATCTAAAACTCAATTTAATTTATCAAAGATACCAAGGAAAATAATGTAGAAAGTAGAATATTTATAGGAGAAAAAATATATTCCTTTAGAATTGCCAAGCCAATGTCCATTTACAAACATCTAATGAATCTAGAATTTCCGGTGGCTCATTATAACGATAACACAGAAACGATATGAAGCATGGCACCCCTGTGTACCATAAACGCCAATTAGGATAACACCTCAAATTTCTCCTTTATAGACGTGGCGCCTCTTGTCAACGCGGTTACATTATATTTATTTAGTTATATGCTATTTTTGTTTACTATTATATATATATATATATATATATATATATATATATATANAAAGTTAAGGGGGTATTCTGGTCTAGAAATTGGAAAAAATCGATTTTTTTTGTCATATTTTCAAAGTGTTTAACCTTTTAAGAATATGTTCTCAAGAGGATTTTTCAAAATTCAAATTATTTTTGGAGATATAGCTGTTTTAGTGACACCTATATCCTACTATCCTATATCCTACACCTATTACGCGAAACTTTGAACGCGTTTTTCTCGAAACTGTTTTTTTGTTTTTGCTTGAAATTTGGTGAGAGTCTTCTATATGCATTACTCTATCGTGCAAACTAAAATCTTACAAAATTTTTCATTTTTACTATTTTTAAAAAATTCGGAAAAGTAAAAAAAGTTATAAAAATAATGTATCTTTTTTTCAAACAGCTGTAATTTAGCGAAAAAAATACTTTTTTCAATTCTTTTAGTTGAAACGATAGCGGCATTATTCTAAATTAATAATCCGTTGTAATTTTTTATTTCGGATTACCAGGAGAACTGCAATCATGGCTACCGTCGCGCGACCACCGTTTTTTTGCGACCACCAACTTTTTCAATTTTGAATTTTTTCAATATTTTTTTCTTTTCATGTATTCTCGAAATATTAATGAATATCTTGTAACATTATAGATAGTAGAAATATTATTCGTCTTGTTGTTATTACACTTGATAAAGTACCTATAATTCATGCCTCTAGACCAGAATACTACCACCTTAAAATAAAATAAACATTTACCGTGGGTGAAATAAAAACAATAATGGTTGTGAAATCGTACGGATTTTGGGGGAAAAAAAGGGGAATGTTTGTCACTCGTCGAGAATTGTTTTCTTTTTTGCGTGCGCACGTTTGTTATATCAATTTTGATACGTCAGCTCGTTATTTCTGGATCAAAACGAGAGAAATGAATTTTTCCGAAGGATTTTATCAACAAAACAACAATTTTTATGTTTAATGGTAAAATTAAAACAAGAACAAATATTATACCTATATCTCCTAAGAGATTTTTAATATTTAATTATAATAAATCTAATTTTTAAATTACTTCTCATTTGTTATATATATTTTATTTTTATATTAAAATGTTTTAATTAGGGCCATTGCAATTAGACAATACTTCACACATGATTCATGATAATCTCCTATATATGTATTATGGAGGGTCTCTACCCTTACCTCTGTAAGGAGTATCATCTCATATGGGAGAAAATTTGAAAAAGTGTCCAGCGTATGCTATAAATAACAGTTCAAAAACCTTCCAGAGTGGCGCTGGTGTAGACAAAGGGTATGGTATAAATTGTAAACAAATTGAACTGTGCCGAGTTAAAAAATGTAATATTATTGCCGACTCTAAAGTATTTAATTATTACATATTTCAACTACTTGCGTAGTACAAAATAATGTAATAAATATAACCTTGAAGAATTATTATGAGCTACACTTAGTGTAGCTAGAGTGATTTTATTTCGTCAACTGTGAATAGTACGTTTATTGATTTTTTATCATTTCATTTTATGACAAAGTATGTGAATAACAAAACAGTTATGGTTAAAATTTACATAGAGCAGACAAGCCAGCATAAAACTTGTCGCGCGAAATAAAAAGAGATAGAACATGGGAGATTGATGACGGCGCATGCGCATTACTCTGCTAGTAGAGGTTAAGGTAGGTATGTATCGTACACATACGTGTACGATAAGCACGACAAATCTAATGCGCATGCGCCGGTATAATATCTCTATGAAAATTTGTGTTGTGAAATGTTGTGTTCCTTGTTTATTTCTCAATCCTACTCTAATCATATTTGGCGCTTCCTTTAAAATTTACCCTGATGCTACTGTGGCGCCACCCTAATTGAATGCATTTCGACGGACACTTTTCATATACACAGATGATACTCCTTACCTCTAACCTTCATACTAGTACTAAACATTTTTTTTAATGCAACTCCTGCATTGAAAATTAATTGACATTTGTTCTTTTGCTCCGACTTAAGACTAAAGTATCTAGGACGCATTGTCACTAGTCGAGCTAATTCTTCCTAGAAACTGAATTCAATTTTACATAAGTTGGTAATCCTAGCTAAACATGTGTTTCTAACCTCTATTAGTTGAGACAAGTTTTGTATATATAAATATTCACGTTTTTATTAAGTTATAATATATAGATATATAATAAAGATGGTGCGAAAATTAAAATATCATGAACAAAAATTATTAAAGAAAGTTGATTTTATTTCTTGGGAAGCGGATAATAATTTGCACGAAGTCAAAGTTTTAAGACGTTTTAGAATTCAAAAAAGAAGTGATTATGCAAAGTATATATATATATATATCAATTAATCAATAATATATATCAATTTTGTATTCTATATATAATATATAATTTTTAACTTGAATATGTTTATTTTCTAGATACAACAAATTGTCTCGTGAAGTTCGAGAATTAGGAGAGAAAATTAAAGAGCTCGATGCTGATAATCCATTTCGCATAGAACAAAGTGCATTGTTATTGGAAAAATTATACATAATGGGCTTAACATCTAACAAATCTGACTTATCTCTTACCCAAAAGATAAGTGCAAGTTCATTTTGTAGAAGACGATTGCCAGTTATCATGGTTCGTAATAAAATGAGTGAAAATATAAAATTAGCAACGCAGTTGATCGAACAAGGACACGTTAGAGTAGGAACAGAAATAGTTAAAGATCCAGCATTTTTAGTTACAAGGTAATAAACACAATGAATTAATGATATTAATATTATACAAGTTAGAGGTTATCATTAATAAAAAAAAAAAAAAAAAAAACAAAAACAAAAAAATGCACTGCGTTATTATTTTAGAAATCTCGAAGATTTTGTAACATGGGTCAATACGTCTGCAATTAGAAAGCATATTATGGAATACAATGATGCTGTAAGTATTTCATTAATCATTAAAATACATATTTTGTACTAATATTAGATTATTAACAAATTCTTTATTACAGAGAGATGACTACGATATGATGTAATGATTAAGCACATAGGATAAAATTGTTTTTTACCTATATTCAAATAAATAAATTATTGTTTCTATTTCAATGAAAAGTCGTTCCTATTATGTATACCTTTCAATAATAATATAATTTTACATGTTTTTCTGTCAATTATTTGTTGTTACGATATGGATTGTAAGTATACATGTCCCGACTATTTGTTTTAGTAGTTTTCATTTCAGTAAGATTATTTCTTACAACAGGATTGTTCTCAGAAAATAAAATTGGACTAGTACTTTTATCCACCTTTTTATTTATATTTAAATTAGTATTTTCTTTTTCTTTTTCTTGTTCTTTTCTTTTTGTTTTTGTTGTATCTTCTACGTCTGGATTAACAACTTTTCTTTCTGATAAAGAATTGCAAAGATCTTGAAGATAGGAGCTAGAATAATTAATGAAGAATTAATGAATGAATTAGGAAAAGGTGAATATGTAATATGTAAATGATGAGCACACGGCATGGCTCAGTCGGTAAGAGCACTCGAGCCCCTGTCTCCAACATCGAACGAGGGGACCATGCCCTGTGCTGGTCGTCGTGGCTTTGGGCTCGCGGGCGTCAGAAATTGATGTTCTTGGGACCACCGTCAACATTCGACCTGGTGGGCTCGGAGAGTGCCCGCCACCCACATCACAATGAAATAGGTGGTGCTCCCCGCAAGGAGCCCGGGCCGCACAATGGTCCAAGGACCAGAAAAATATGTAAATGATTATATCTCACCTAAGCATCAATAAATTTTGTGCTGCATTTAATACTTTTTCACGTCGATTTAATATAGTATTTTTTAATGTATTAAGTTGCATAATGTAATCAGGTTCTTTGGTAAAATCACTTGTACATTTTCTACTTTGAGAATTTAAAGAGCTTTTTGATAATTTCAAATAATTCATTTGAACGTAATTACTTTGTTTCTTTGATTCGTAGAAACTGTTCAAATTTGTATATTTATTGTTTTCTTCCAAAACAGAACCATCCTGTTTATTATTTGAAATTTGTAATTTTTGTTTTTTCCAAGTATTCATCGGTAATTGTTCAATACCTTTTAATATTTTATCTTCTATAATTGTAGGTTTAGAATTAATCAAACGTTTTTTATAATTATTATTCAAAGTATATACTTTAGTAGTATATTCTTTTGTTGGCCTTTTTTTATCTAATAATGTATGATGTCCTTCTTGAGATGTTGTTGTTGTAATATTATTTTTCTCATTGTTAAATAAAGGAAACTTATTCTTAGAAGAAAAATATAGTACATTTTGCAATTTATCATTATTTTTATTCATTATATTTTCATCATTTAAATTGATTTTATATTTGTCTAATAATGAATTACGATCTTTGGATTTTTCGCTTAATGATTCGCATTCGTTTATTGAAGACGCGCTACCAACACTGTATATAGATTTTAAAACAAGTTTACAATCAGAGCAAAAGTTCTTTGACATTTCTAAATTATTACAATAATTATTACTTTCCATTGTACAGACAAAATTATTTTATACGTTTACAAATTGTACATACAATTGTATTGATAACAAACACTTTCAATTTGAATATAAATGTGGTGGTGGGAGGGAACGAAACACTATGTCCATCTAGTGTTAAATAAGAATAATTAAAAAAGAATATTTTTTTCAATACAAATGCACAATCTATCAATTGAAATGAAGTTCAATATTTATTGAAAATTATTCATGTTTTTGCTACCATTTATGCACCCATCATTACTGTTATTTTACAATGTACAAATGATATTCGCATTTTTATATGATTTGTTTTGAAAATATAGAAAATTAGTCGACACTAAAGTTCTTTCACAATTATCATCATTGATGTTGTTGATTATATATATAATACCGTTGTACAAAATAAAATATTTCAATATTTTACATAAGTAGAATAGATATTTGTTATAATTAAAAGTATTATCTTTGACACAATCATTTCTTTCAATATAATTTCATTGTAGGAATTTGTGTTAATGTCAAATAACAATCTGACAATAATTCAAATTTTAAATCAAAAGTCTACATATTATATTCTTTTTTTTTTTGTTTTGTTTTTTTGTTTGTTTTTTTTTTTGTTTTCGCATATTCTGTGCATACATATGCAACGTAGATATTTATGAAAATAAACATTAATTATTTGGCCATATTGTTGAAATTAAGATTGCGTGCTTAATGCATAGCCACTGGCTTATTTCCTTACAATGATAATTAGTATTTATTATGATACAAATGTTATATGTTAACATTTCTTTTTACAGTAAAATCGGCAGTCGTTGCTGGTCTCTATGACACTGCTACCGCACTGCAGATCATTGCTATGTCATAGAGTGAGTTTTTTAAGTTTTCCTTTTCTTTTTTTCTTTCTTTCTTTCTTTTATCATCCAAAAATTCTTGAAAACACTCCATGACAATGGCAATAAGCTGAAATGGGAGTTTGTGTCAGCTCAGGTCCCCAAGTATCCCCCCCTTCTTCTTCTTCTTCTTCATCTTCTTCTACTATTTACAAAATTCGCACTCCACAATCTCTTCAAACACCGGCAATTGCATCTTGCACAAAATGTGTAATTAATTTCAAGTGATTAAGTTTCTTTGATTATTTTTAATAATACATATCTTTTCTGAATTATATATTGCTGCATATCTTTTTTCATTTTAATAATAACGGTATCGATCACGAAAAAAAACTAAACATATGAAAATGACATGTTCAAATTGTTCTTTTGCTCGAATGCTTCTTTGTAAATTGTTCTGATAGCATTTCATATTATTAGTAGAAAAAACAAAATTAAACAAATACAAATAAAAGAGATGATATATTATATTATATTATATTATTATTATTATTATTATTATTATTATTATAAAAAAATATATATATATAATTGTTATTATTATTATTATTATTATTATTATTATTATTATTATTGTTATATACCAATGTTTTGATATACTTCTTTATACGTTATAATTGCTACTAAAAATGTACACTACTATCTACCATTTCATTGATTCATTTATACACACATCTTTTTTTATGGTCAATAGATTTTGTTACATATATACATATACATATGGGCATATATATTGTAACTGTTAATCAAATGTTTCTCTTTTTATATGAATTACTTTTCTGACCCATTACTACTCTTTTTCTACATACTCTACTCTATCGATTAACTTCATTGAGATACCAAGCAAATTTGTTAGTTAAATATGGACAAAGTATAATAACATAATTAAAAAAAAAAAAAAAAAAAAAAAAAAAAAAATTTTTTGGCTTACGGTCTCGAAAGACCAGACGACCTCGCAACCGGCTACGCTCAGCATATATAATTGCCTAAGTTACGTTTCTTGATCGAAAGATCTTCAGGGTAGGGTGATCAGTCCTACGCCATCCCTAGATCATCGTGGCGATTTGCGAAGCAGGCCTTACCGGTAATAACACGGGGCACAAACGCTCTCAAGCCACGACGGAGGAGCAGGCATGCTTTCTCGTTCGATGTCGGAGAGCAGGACTCGACACCCGCCACACTCTCCGGGTGGGAGTCGAGCGCTCTGCCGACTGAGCTATGCCGTGCTCTAATAACAAAATTACCAAAACAAAAATGTATTATTCCATTTTCCTATAGTACACACTTATCATTAGTATATCAATCATTTTAGATAGATTTAAATTTATAAACAAAACATATATATATATATATATATATATATATATATATATATATGTATCTAGAGTTATATATATATATATATATATATATATATATATATATATATAATATGGTAAATGCTAAGTATCTCGGTGATTAGGAATCGTATCTACATAAAGACATATATTTCTTCAAGCTCTGTCATTATTTTCACAATCCTTGAAGAACCCTTCAAACAATTTTTATATACTACTTAAATGTTTCTTTCTATGTTTCATTTACTTTCTCAAGACCAATATATCAAGACATTAATATAGCTGCAATAGAATTTACAAATTCTGACATAATATTTTATTATTATGATGAGATGTCGAACGTTACTTTTTTTTCTTCCTTTTTTTCGCTTTTTTCACTTTTTTTTTCTTTTTTTTCTTTTTTAATAATCACACCACAAGGGAAGCATGATTAATAGAACATAGAATTTTGTATATCTAATATAATATACAGCAATAAAATAAACACAAAATACGTTATATTATATGCTATATAGTTTCTGATAGTTCAATATTAGTTCAATATTAGTTCAAATGATTTAATAAACTGACAAGTAACACGGTTTTAATTGTAATATTTTTCTGATAATAAAATAATAGCTCATCAAAGTGTGCAGAGTTTTTATAATTAATTATAATATATACTATTATAATTGAAATATGAATGAATTATTAGAACAATGTATATATGTGTGGGATTGGTGAAAAAAATTGAACCGGGTCTCGAACCACGGATCCTTTCGCTTTCCGGGCAACTGCTCTTTTAACCAATTGAGCTATCCAGGGCCCATCGACCAATCCTTCTCACGAATACCTCTCACAAATAAGTTTGACATGGAGGCGCTCATCCCACATATATATTTTACTATATTTTGTTCCATATCGAATCATTTTTACATACATCATTTTAAACTTTTATAAATAATTCTTTTTTTCTAATAACTGCGTGTTCATTTAATCGCAGTAAATAGTTATTCTTAAATAGGATTTAATTGAGCCGTGTCAGATGCCATTTGAACCACATTTTCTAATCATATATAACTAATAGTGATCATTACAAACATAAGCTCATTACCAAACAAAAATTTACATTAGATTATTTTAGTACAACGGTAAAATTAATTGATATTTTTATAAAAAAAAAAAATTAAAAAAAAAAAAAACAACAATTTAAGTGTAAATGTTGCAAAAAACTTGCATTAAAATGTGATTTTTAGTGCCGACTTTTTCTATATTAATGTAAAACTCATTTCTTGTTTTAGAAAATGAACATTTTCAAATCTATATAATAATATTAATATAATAAAAGTTAAATGAAAGAATAGCATAATTTGTTTGCAGTAGTACAATTTTATGAGATTAAGAAGATTATTTTTATATCAAAGCAAAACATTTATATTGTCTTTTTTCTTTCATCTATCTATATATATAGTATATATATATATATAGTTTATACTTTATGGCTTTGCACAAGAAATTTGTGTATTAAAAAAATGTGCATCTAAATCACTCATTAATTTTCAAGTTTAATGATACGTTAACGTAATGATTATGACACTATATGAATAGTGTACTATTTTCTAACAAGACATTAATATATTGCTTTCACATATTAATGTAAGTAAAAATCTGTATAAAAATGGAAAGATTTACTGAATAATGAACAATGAAATTTTCCAAAATGTTAATCTGTCCTAATTATAACAATAGAATGGCACATGTTTCTTTTTTATTTATTCACAAATAGTTTTACTTTTTTTTTTTTTTTTATTATTATTATGAAATGTGAAACTGAAACCGTAAGAAATACTTGGGAGAACAATACACATTACCTCTTTATGTGATGACAGTTGGTGCATCGCGTCCTGTATGCTGAGATAATTTACTTAAATCTAATGCAATGTTGACTAATGGTTTTAAAATTAGTTGAGCATCCTTTTCGTAAACAGATTGATCATTTTCATAGCTATCAATATATAAACGAATGGTTGCTCCTGAACTTCCAGTTCCGGATAAACGATATATTATACGAGAACCATCTTCAAATAATATCCGTAAGCCCTAATTTATAAAATAAAATAAAATAAAATAATATAATTATAATTATATTATAATATAATATAAGATAAGATAAGATAAGATAAAAAAAAATGAATAAAAGTTAGAAAAAGTGAAATCTTACTTGTTTATTGGCTTGACTTCCATCAACGGGATCAGTGTACGAGTAATTGTCTGCAAGTTTAACGGTATAAGTTTTATTTTCCGAAGATAAGGTTTTACCAATAAATCCTGCTGTTTGAATGACTGTTTCAACCTCCTGCATCACTTTATTTGCACTTTCTACTTCGCAATTCTCGTAGTCATATCTAAAAACATGTGTAATATTATATAACACATGATGACACAACACAAGTATAAATTATTCGCAAATTATTATCTAACGTAATAATATAATTTATAATTTGTACCTCGTAAAGAAATTCCGTCCATAAACTTTCCAATGATCTAATAATATGTCTTGAACAGATTTTCCAAGTTTAGCGATAACATTGAGCCATGCAAGACAAGCCCATATGCCATCTTTTTCACGTATATGATCAGAACCTGTACCAAAGCTTTCTTCTCCGCAAAGTGATAGACGACCAGCATCCATCAAATTTCCTAATATAATGTCATTTAATTGATTATTTGATTATTTGATCATTTGATCATTTGATAGATGAAATACCATGAATTATTCTATTTACCAAAATACTTCCAACCAGTAGGTACTTCAAAACATGTAACTGCAGCTTTAAGAGCCACTCTATCTACAGCTGCACCTGTCGGCATAGATCTTGCATATCCTTTAACACCGGTCTTTTGAAAATAAGGTATTAATGTTAAATTAGCAGCCAATACTGCTAATGAATCAGAAGGTGTTACAAAGAAAGCATTTTTTCCTAGTATCTGTAACAATGTTTAAGTACAAATTTCAATAAAAACAATTCTTCTTCTTCTTCGTCTTCTTCACTTATTCAAATCAAATTCAAATGCTGGTTACCATATTTCTATCTCCATCCCCATCAAAAGCAGCTCCAAAATCATTATTAGGATTATTTTTCATGGCGTTTACCAAATCTATGGCGTAAGTTAAATTTGGATCAGGATGAAGTCCTCCAAAATCTTCTAACGGAATGATATTAACGAGACTTGAATTATCCACACCTAATTCATCACTAAATATACGTTTAATATAAGGTCCCGTAACTAAAACATAATATTGATTATTTTATTGATATTGATGAATATTAATGATTACAAGTAACAAGTTATCATGAAAATGTCTATAATACCTCCATTCATTCCATTAATGAGAACCTTGAAAGCTGGTCTTTGTTCACTTCCTTGCAATAAACTTCGAATACTAGTAAAATCAAAAATTTCTTTCATAAGTTCTAAATAATCATTTACGGAATCTACTATATCAACATCAAATGGTTTCCCATCGACTTGAATAGAAACATTTTGAATTTGATCAATATCTACGTTTATCTCTGGTATTATTTTATAACTTGTTAAAGTTTTAGTAATTTCATATATTTTATTAGTAACTCCATCAGGAGCAGGTCCTCCATTTTCACAGTTAAATTTGATTCCAAAATCAGCATTAGGACCACCAGGATTGTGCGACGCAGTTAATACTATTCCTCCTTGTGTTTTGTATTTACGAATTATTGCGGATACAGCTGGTGTCGAAAGGATTCCATTTTGCCCAACAATCAACCTCCTTACCTAAAATAATACATGTCATTGTCAGATTATGTCTTCTCATTATTGCCAAGTGGCAATGCTTGGCTTTGCCAAGTGTAACAGAAATAAAAATACATTAGAAGATCTCATTTTCTAACTATGAAAAATAATGACACACATTATTGTCTTATGACAATTGAAATGCTTTCATTTCTACCAAGTTACGTTAACATTTATTATTATATAGATATATAAATATAATAACGTTTTTAAAATAACAATATACTTTTTATTTGATAAACATACCCCATTGGCAGCAGCAATTCTAATGATCTTTTTAACAGCATCTTTTCCATAATAACGTCCATCACCACCAACAACGAGAGTAGATCCGACACATTGATTACCCAAAGCATCTAATATAGCTTGGACAAAATTTTCAGTATAATGTTCTTGTTGAAAAACTTTAACAGCCTTTCGAAGTCCAGATGTACCCGGCTTTTGGCCTTCATACACTTTCGTCTCCACCGATAAACTGCTCACTGCACTTGACATATTTCCTTTTTTCTAATATATTTAAACCCGACTGAAAATACAATGAAAATGACAAAACAAGATATTATTATTTGAACAAAAAAAAAACAAAAAAAACAAAAAAACAAAAAAACAAATGATTTGAAATAATAGTAAAAGTCAAAACTATGCGAAACTATTCCCACACATAGAAGAAACTTTGCCAACGTCCGGTGGCAGACTAAATTCTACCAACGGGTTTCTAACTTTGCTGCCTGCCAATGACATTCAAGGACACGGGTCAACCATCTTGAAAAATCGCGACCCCGACCCCCCTCCCTAGCCCCACCGCACGTGCGCGCGCGCTTAGATACAGATCTAAAAAAACATACCAAGGATCTCTAAACAAGATAAAATATGTATCTTCTTGTAAGATAAATAAAAACAAAACAAAAAATAAATAATAAAATGTTTATTCTTTCTTCTTCTTCTTTTTCTTCTTCTTCTTCTTCTAATGAAATTGAATTTTCTTGAAAATGTTGCGTACTCCTTTCTTATCAAGTTTCAAATGCATAATACTTTCTTTTATCATATAATAATGAAATCAAATGAAGGAGAATGAATACAATTAATGTGGATAATTTTTGTTATTTCGTTCTATTTACATAATACAATAGTAATGATAAATTTCATTACTTTTATTAGACTTTTAATTATCGCTTCGATAAACGATTTAAAAGTCAAATATTTGACTCCTGCCTTTACGCGCCATATTTAAATAGAGTAAAATAGAGTAGTTGAAAAAATACCTCGACAAATTCCTTATCTTCATTTATAAAATGGATATAACAATAAATAAATCAATTAAAGTTATCGAATAATGAAAAAAAATTAATTAAATATTAATATAAATATCACATACATTGAAATGTTACGTAAAACGAATATAATCTTTGTAAACGTTATCATATCAACAACGTTTGAAAATAATTCGTTTTTAATTTCATACGAATTGATTTATCCTACACATTATCGCAATTATGCTTCTAGAAAAGCTCAAGATCATGTTAAAAGAGAAAATGTCAGATTTATGTGTGCATAAAACAGTTCGTGGTAACCATCAGTAGGCAAAATAAGAACATGAATAAGGCCAGGAAGAAAAGAGAAGGGGGTTTGAGGAAGGAGAGGGGGGGGATAGGGGAAGAAGAGAAGGAGGAGGACATATATGTTGTATCAAGGATTCCTGATATAAGTTCGAGGTTTACAAAACAGCAGATATGTAAGTAGCTATCTCGAATACAGTTTTCCAATAGACTTTGTAGTGAAAACATGTGTTTTAAACATCATAGTGTTGTTTGTGAAGTTTCCTGTACTTCTTCTTTTTCTTTCTTTTCAAAATGTATGTAATTTGTAAATGTAATTTAAAATAATTCTAAAAAGATTGACATTAGTAATATCATATTTAATTATAATATTATGTGTTGTAGAATTTAAAAAGGTATGTTATACAATAATATATATATGTACATTTTTATAGAATGCATTTAATTATATCATAGGAATAATTTGGTTTATTTTTTTGATGTTAGGATTAAATGATGTACATGTCTACTGATCATTGGAAAGGTAGAAATACGCACCATGATAGTGGATCAGAAAGTACACCATTACTTTCTTCAGATTCTCATGGTAGTCATGGATCGATTATATTCCAAAATTCTGAAACAAGTGATTTAGAATATAAGTTAGTAGATCATTCACAAATATCTCTAATATATTTTATATATATATATATATATATATTTGATATTAGTTTTTGATTAAGTAAAAAGTATGTATATTTTTGTTAAAGATATGGGACTATAAAAGGCGGTAACTTAAATTCAACAGCTGCTGTACTTCCAAGAAGATTACCTCCTCTTTTACAAGATAATACATCTATGCTAACAAATATATGTCAATCTTTGACTTGTATTGAAGAAAGACATTACGGAGTACACAACTATGATTTGGTGAAATGATCAAAATATTAGGAAATTAATAAATGCATCTATGATATTGTAACGTTCTTATTTATTATTATTATTATTATTATTATTATTACTATGTTATGTTAGACAAGGAATAAGAAGCATGAAGAAAATAAGGAAGAACCATTGACAAAGGGATATAATAAAGAATATTTATCAAAGGATTCGACATTAAGACAAGAAGATACAGAGATTTTAAACAAAGATATTAAACCGAAACAAAGTTCTCTAGTCACGATGTAAGTATTTCATTTAATGCAAAAATATTCATAGATAAGTATTCATAGATAATGTTTGAACTTTCATGTAAAAAACATATTGTTAGAGATACACGAGTATCTATATGTTTCGTAAAGAAAGGAATAAAAAATTGAATGATACATTTCAAATAGAATTTGCATCAGAAATTACTTTATTTTCTCTTTTTATCTTTTTTTTCTTTTATGAACATTGATAAGCCTATCATGTTGCTTAATAATAACTCCCTATGTTTCAAATGAAGAAATAATATGAGAAAATATATATAGATTGTGATGTGATTGATGATAATTATTGCTTTAAATATAAATTAATATTAAATGTATTATATTTTCACAATTTGTTTCAAGATTTGCTCTTTCGTAGTTCAAAGTTCAAAGAAGTTATCTTTTTATTTATTTCGAATAATCGTGAAATTAAAAATAACAATTCGTCGTCGTCGTCGTCGTCGTCGTCGTCGTCGTCGTCGTCGTCGTCATTAGCTATTTTGCAAATGTTAATTTCAAATTTTCCCACCTTATCACGTGACATAAAGATATGTATGTCGTCAGGGGAAATGTACATATGTATAAAAAGAAGTAGAAAAAGAAAAAGAAAAAGAAAAAGAAAAGTTACAAAAATACAGTATAAATTATCCAGCAAAAACTAGAAATATAATCACGCGTGCATTCCATGATTTAATCTAATCGTAAGAGGTTATCTCGCACAATGGTGCGTAAGCCGTATAATTGACAAATCAAATATCGTGTTTGGCTAAAAAAAAAAAAAAACATTATCCCAATTGGGTCATCGTAAAACGTGTCATTGCTAACTAATCAAATAATTTTGTATAAATTGTAAGTAATTGTTATCTATAAATTTATTTATCTATCTTTCTTTTAAAGAAAATAATATCAGGAAGAAACTTGACGATTAAAAGGTCATATAGATTTCTCAACTAAAAAAAAAAAATACTACTTTTGTTACATATACATATATATATATATATATATAATTATCTAATACTGTCTAATTAGAATTTAAACTTACCGTATCATGGTCATTGTCTGAAGGACTTTAAACGTACTATATGGTCGTTGACCCCTGTGCAATTTATCGTCGTTAACGCGTTTCTTATGATGAAACTTTGATCCACGCCCAACACATTAACCTGATCGATGAGAAAAATCTTCTAATGTAATATAAAAACGATTATGCGACAACGAGAACGACAACGAGAACGACAACGAGAAATTACAACGATAATAACGACGACGATGACAAAGACGACGATTATGAGAACAATGAATTTCGTTTTTTGAATAATCGTTATAAACGGTTTAAGAAGATTTTTGTTTGGATCAAAACGACGATGCCATGAATAATATCAGAAGAAAAATAACGTTATTTCTAACTTGTATTAAACGTTAGCTCTCTAAAACTTGAACAATCTTTTTGACAAAGGTGACAATAAAAACGATCTTCCTTTCTTCCCCCGGCTGGTTAAACCAGCAGCCGGTGTCCGACCGGTTTGCATGCAGCAAACGTTCTAACTTGAGTTCAGCATCGTATCGAAAGGGTTAGTGCTCTGTCTGTGACCGTCTGTTGCCCGGGCGACAGACGAACTTCTCTCCTCCCCTTCCACCCTACACACCTAACCTCACCTAACCTCACCTCCCTCTTCCAGTAGACAGGTCAACGCCCGTAGCACCTTCCATACAATTCCAATTCTCTCTGCCGGGCATTTCTACTGTATTATATGCATTTCTATTAGGTTTTCTCTCCAAATATTCTTCCTTTTTGTTTTTGTTTTTGTTTTCTTTTTTAACTTTACATGTGTGCATAATATTTATATAGTATATACAAAAATGATACTTAGTTTTTATCAATCATATATTATTCATTTCAAATAATATTAAATACAAAATATTCTGCATGCTAAACTTGCTAAGAAAAAAAGCAAAATACTTGTAGCACGATCTAATATTTAGGAGGTCCATTTAAACGTTCCATGTTATAATCATATTTTGATGTTTTCTTTCATCATCAATTCAATAAGATAATCTATTTTAATTGAATGAAATATTCGAATTAATTATTAGTCTGATTTTTTCGAAGACTGAATTAATATCGTTCCAGTTAAATTAAACATTAAGAATATTAATTAATTAAAGAGGTTATTTTTAAATGTACTTTTAGAATTTTCAATATTTTAATACAATCAATCGTATCTTATCGATGGAGAATTTTCAGAGTATTGATTTATGTATTTTTTTTCTTGTCACGATTAGAAGAAAACAATGATTCTTACATACTTTATACAGTAAATGATGATTATTAATATTATTTTGAATTGACAATGAGAGATAGATTTGATATTTAAAATGAGTTGAATAAATGATCATTATTTAAGAAATATTTTTTTTGATGATAATAATTAAAAGGAATTTTGGAAATCAAACTTGATTCTTGATGAAAAAGACAATGATATTTTTTTCGGATAATAATAAATTTCGTGTTAAACTGATTTTTCTCTTACTTTCATAATTTATATTTAATATTGTAAGATTAGGTTAAGTCATAAATAAGTTTGAATTTCAATCAAATCTTATTACTGATAGCTAAAAAAAAGTATGCCACTATAATAAATTTCACTTGGGGAAGTGTTATTTATGACTTAACTCAATAATTATCAGACATCTCTGTTTGACTTTAATTAGCGATATGTTAAAATAAATATCTTACCAATATACACACAACAATGTTACAATATACACTTTTGTGTTTCTCCAGAATATCCTTGTTTATCAAAATTCCATCCAAAGTCCAAGGATGTAAAAAGGAAGTCTCTTCAAATCTTTAGTATTATCATCTTCATATTTATTTGTAGTTTCTCGATATGGAATACAATATTAGGTTCGTCTTTGCTTACTATGCCATGGGGTATTCAAATGGCAGGTTTTTTTCCTGGAATTATCCTTGTATTAGCAATGGGCGGTTTGTGTCTTTACACTGCTCATCGTTTAATAGTTGTACACAAATATCACGGTGAGTCAATAACGAAAATTAAAACAATCTTTTTTTTTTTTTTGTTTATCAAAATGATAATCTGATTGTTACATTTTTTAAGGTTCACAAGAAAAAATTGAAGTTGTACAATTAAGTAGAATATTTCTCAATAAATGGACAGAATACATAGCCAGAATCTTTAGTATTTCAGTTTTGTTAGGCGCAACGATAGCTTATTGGATATTGATGTCTAATTTTTTATATAATTCAATTAACTTTTTTTATGGTAAGATTATAAGAGAGACACACATTAGAGATTTATTTCATTTACTATCGGAAAGATAATTATAACTAACTGTAATTTACATTTTAGATAATGTCATGGGACTGCCTACATATTCTATAAGTGATAACAACACAAATAATGTCGAAGGTACATATTTATTATTTCTTTGTCAAGGAAACATTTTAATAGAATTTCGTATCAAATTGAAATAATCCTATCTCTCTATTTGTATGTCAAATTTATGATTAGTGTTGAGAAAATGTTAACTTCATTATTCTCTGTGTTTAAACATAAATAAACATCTATATCACCTCTTTTATTTAATATTTCCGTTTCTCTTTACAGTTCATGATTATTCATTCATATTTATAAGAATTAGTAATATCAAATAATCATAATTTATTATCATCATTTTGTTTTATAATAAAAAATGATTCATCTTATTTACAGTTTTGTGTACAAGAAAAGAAATATATAATGGCAGTGATATAATAACGATTCAAGAACGCACATTTGACGCTTTAGGTCCATCATGGGATTTACATAAAACAGTACCTGCATTTTTAGCTATAATAATATTTCCATTACTCAACTTCAATAGTACTACATTTTTCACTAAATTCAATTCTCTTGGTAAATCAATAATATTATTTTGTAAATATAATAAATGATATATTCATTTTTAAATATAATTTCTAAATAATTCCATTGTATTTTTATTTCAGGAACTATATCGATAGTATATATAATTATATTTGTTTTAATAAAATCTGCATCATGGGGTTTACATATGGATAGATCAATGTGGGAAGTTAGTTGGATATTGAAGCCTACATTTCCAGCATTGTCTGGCATGCTAGCACTATCATTTTTCATTCATAACATTATAATCACTATAATGCAGAGTAATCGTGATCAGTCTAAAAATGTAAGTATACATTTAGTTTACACTAATCATATTTGTATACATTATTAAATTTATACTTAATAAATATTTTTTTCAAATAATAGGGAAGAGACTTGACAATAGCATATGGTCTTGTTACAGCAACCTACATTGTAGTAGGTGTAACATTTTTCATATGCTTTCCTCTTGCTAAATCATGCATTGAAGATGTAAGTACATAATTATATTATTCCAAATAATTATACAACAAATTTGTGTTAATTATCCAATTTACATATATGTATAATATATGTACTTTTTCTTTTTCTTTTTCTTTTTACAGAACTTATTAAATAATTTTCAAAAATGGGATCCTTTAACAGTAATTGCTCGTATAGTATTATTATTTCAATTATTAACAGTTTATCCATTACTCACATACATGCTAAGAATTCAATTAATTTCATCAATATTTGAGAAATCTACCATCTATACTACACTGATAATCAATTCTATTTTGGTTTTGATTTCTATATTATTTGCAACATTTTTACCGTATATTGGAACTGTCATAAGATATACAGGTGCTTTAAGTGGTTTAATTTATGTATTTACTTTACCGAGTTTACTTCATTTATCTGTTTTGCGAAAGCAAGGAAAATTAACTACGATTACAACAATCGTACATTTAATAATACCAATTATTGGTATATTAAATCTTATAGCTCAATTTTTTATAATCGATCATTGACATATATATTTAACCCTTTTCGGACGCGTGTCCACTCTCAGCCACCACAGTGAAGAGAAACCGTGCTAATCTTATATGTACGTAGGTTGAAACTTAAATAATGGCAACTAATTTATTCACAACCGATACAAAAGAGTTACATGTTAGCAGAGCAGCAGAGTTAGCAGAGTTGATGGTGCGAATGGAGGAGCGATCTACTGCCATGTCTCATCCAGTGCGCTCATCAGATGCGCTCCAAGTGCATCGCTCCATTCGCACCATCAACAGAGTGCTAACAGTATAGGACAAACAGTACAACAGTAACAAACAAGTAACAGGTGCAAACAGGCACTAACTCTTTTGTATCGGTTGTGAATAAATAGTTGCCACTATTTAAGTTCCAACCTACGTATATATACATAAATTAATTCCAACCATTACGACACCCATGTCCAAATGAAATACGTCCGAAAAGGGTTAATTTAATGAAATGAAATCTATGAAATTGTAATAAAGATATTTTCATATCTTATACTTTGATTATTATTATAACTATTATATTTTATTACTGTGATTTAGCAATAAATAGGGAGAATTACTCCAATATACAAGTTTATATTTTATTTTTTGTACTTTTTGCAACTGTAAATATTTAATAATATATACTACTACTATATACTATATTAAAAAGTAATGTAAAAAGTTAATAGTATTACCTATTTAATCCAGAAATTATAGGAGAAATTTTTATCTTTTCTTATATAACCAAACAGTATCAACACCTTCGCCAATGGTTGCAATTGGATTCATATTGGGAAGAGGAAATCTACATGCTATTATCACAGAATCTTTTTGCAACTCTGTATTAAATTTTTCTTCGATATCTCCCATCTGTAAAAGAGATTTTTTATTGTATATAAATATATGTGGAAGTAAAAAAAAAAAAAACAAAAAAAATACAATTAAATGAAAATAAATACCATTTGTTCTACCCCAAATAAAATAACATTATTGTAGTTTCGTAAATTACATTTCCACAAATCTTGTCTGAAGAAACAAGTCTGGGAGCGTAAACCATTTTTAAAAGCCATTAATCTAGAATACCATACGAGCCATGGATTTAATTCTATACCATAAGATTTAAAACCAGCTTTCGCTGTTGCTAAAACCTACTCGTAAAGCAAAGTTTTTCTTCGTTAAAAATGATTCCTTTATTTGTCCATATTTAATTAACATTTTATGACTTACAATGCGTCCATCTCCACTACCAAGATCAATCAATGAACCTGAACGTCCTTTTAAAGCTTGTAAAACGTTTAGTACTTGTTGATTTGTCGCTGGCACATAGGGTAAACAGATCTTACGGAATGCTGGACTTACAAAAGGTATGCATACTACGCTAATAACTGTTGCCAATCCTCCTAAAATCAAATAATTATATGAAAAAAGACTATTTTATTCAATTGAAATATAAAATACATTAATTGATTACCTGTTACTGCTATAAGACTAATTCCAAGTTTTGTTAATTTTGGCTTATTGACATTATTAGATGTTTCGGTGAAATATTCCATTTTATATAGTAATAACAATAACAATTAATACAATAATAATAATAATTAATTAACAATTAAAATATATTCATTGTATCACCTCATATTATAATAAGTCTTATTATTTATTAATTTTAAATTACAGTTTGGAGGTTATGTTCTTACATCCAAGCATGTTACATATTTCCATGTGTTCCCCAGTGAAGCCAGATCGTAGAACACTTCTACCCCTTCTCTCGAGCCCAGCACGCCTCGCACACAACGAAATGTTACGTGTCGGTGTGTCGGGAAAACCGAAAGAAGCCGAGGGAAGTCGAGATTAGCTGCGCGACAGAGGAGAAATAATACCCTCACCACGCGCTGTGGATAAATACATGGACACAATACACATTGTATATGCATATATTGTACAATATATGTGTAAATGTGTGTTTATATGTTTGTGTCCATGATTTCTCCGCGGCGCGTGGTGGGGATATTATTTCTCCTCTGTTGCGCAGCTAACCTCGACTTCCCTCGGCTTCTTTCGGTTTCCCGACACACCGACACGTAACATTTCGTTGTGTGCGAGACGTGCTGGGTTCAAGGGTAGGGGTAGAAATGTTCCGCGATTTGGCTTTACTGGTTTCATATAGTCTATCTTTTTCTACTATGTCGTCATAACGCGCATGCGCATTACATTTATTATACTATATACATAGGTTAGAGAATTTCGTCAACGTCAAGCCAGCGATCCCATTCGTACGATAATTATCGTACGCGTAATCTTTTTTTTT